TCTAAATAGATTCTAAGATCGTTTATATCTTTAATATAAAATAAGAATAAAGTATCTATTAAGATAATATAGACGTAATTCTCCTAATTAGCGTTAGAATAATAATCTCCTTTATAATAGATATTACGTTTCTTATTCTAAATCTTATTCTAGCCCTTTATTCCCTATTTATTAATTATTAAGCTTAGAATTAAGGCTATTAAGGCCCTAATTTACGAAGCTCCTATTATAGAAATTAATATTATATCTATATTAAGAATAATATTATATTATATATAAATACTATTAATCTAATATTAACTAAATAGCTACTCTATTAAAGCTATCCCTTTAATCTCCTAATTACTCCCTTTAATCCTATACTAAAACGATTTATTTATTAAGAAGTATATTATATAAGTATTTATTAATTCGCTTTTAAGATTAGATTTATAAGGATCTTCTATTCTTAGCCCTTCTAAATCTTTAGAATCTAAGCTCTTAATAAGCTTTATAGCTATTAAGAATTAATAATATCCTTTCTATTAATCCTTATATACTTCTTATATATATTTCTATTACTCCTTCGAGTATTATTATTCTTTAAAAGAATACTTTATTAATCTATAATCTAATTTAGAATATATCTAATATTTATAAGTTCTAGTCCTAGAATCTTAATAATTATTAATTCTATAAAACGATTATTCTCTATAATCTCCTTTTCTATTAATTTAATAATAGCTATTTCCGCCCCTATAATACCTATTAATATAGAAGTACTTAAATATTTTAATATTCTCCTCTACTTTTAATATACTCTTAAGCTAAGCGGATAGCATATTAAAAGATCGCTTTAGCTTTATTAATATAATCTTTAGCTCTAAAATACTTTAAATTACCTTTAGAATATTTATATAAAGATAGGTCTCCTCTTAGAATATTAGGCTAAAAGCTCTTTAATATTATTAAAGCTTATTTAGAAAGATCTAGAGAATTTCTATTTATAGTTTTCCTATATTCTTAAGCTTTATAATAATAGAATTAAATATTATAGAGCTTTAATCTATATAATATTAAGCTCTATTAATCTCTAAATCGAATTATTATTTAATCTTTAAATATATTTACTAGATTCTTATACTCTTATTTATATATTCTAAAAAGAAAACTTATATATACTTTAAAAATATATTTAGGAAAAGCGTATAGAGCTATATATACTAAATTTATAAAAGCTTATATATATCTATAAAGATATATATCTTATTATTTAAGATATTATAGATCTTTTTAGAATAATTACTCTCCTTATTCTAGAATAATATAAATTATTTAATTATAGCTCTATCGATTAATAAATTTATTAATTTATATAATAATAGAATATAATATTAAATTAATAAATTCTAAATATTATTTAGAAATAGGATCTTATTTTATTATAAATAAAATATAATCTTTTATTAATTAAATTATTTATTCTATTAATTAAATAACTCTAAAATATAAAGTTAATAGGGATCTATTTTCTTATTTTATATAATTTAGATTTAAGATAATTAAATAGTCCTTATTATAAATAATTATTTATTATTTAATTATTCTTAATATTCCTCTATTCTATAGAATATTAAATTATAATTAATATTATTCTTTAATATATCTATATTAAGTATCTCTTCCTATAATAATATTAGAATTAGCCTCTTCGATATTTTAACGTTTATTATCCTTAAAAGAAGGATCCTATAATCTATAAAATATACCTTTAATACTCGAGAGATTATTAAATTATAAGAATCGAAATCCTCTTCGCTCTAGCTTTAGAAGTCTTTAATAAATACTTCTAAGAAATAAACTCCTTTTATATTTCTATATACGCTTATTATTTTAATAATCTAAATACTCTTAAGATCTATAAATACTAAATCTAGTAATCCTAGGAACTATAACTCTACGCTATTTACGATAAAATCGATATCGAGATCCTTCTTAACCCTCTAAATAAAGCGTATAATACCGATATCCTTTAGAATAGCGTCGAACTTTTATTATAGCTTTTTAGCGCTCTTTAGCTCTATTATAGAGCTATTACTATAATCTAAAGAGCTTATTATTATTAAGTTTATAAAGCTTTAATATAAATAATTAACTATTCTATATAGCTTCGTTTTTCGGGTTTTATAATTAACGATATAGCTTAATAATAATCTTAATCGTAAGAGTCTTAAGATACTCGAAATAGACGGTATTCCTATAGATTACGTAATAAGGGAATTACTTACTATTAAGCTTATATAAGAGTCCTAAAATACTTAAAAATAAAATAATACTTTTACGATTACTTATAAAGCGTAATCGATAAGCTTATATATAGTAAATATACTATTTATAAGATCGATCTTAATTTCTCTAGCTCTAGCTATTCTATATTACGTTAAACGTAATACTAATTAATATTAAGAGGGCTTTATTATTTATATAAACCCTAATCTAGTACTTCCGCTATACTTACGAGCTCTAAATAAGTAGGGTATCTAATAAGTCTTATAATAGTTAATTCTTATATCTGAGTTACTGCTACCTACGTGAGTTAGATATACCTATCTGCTCTTAGCGATTACGTAAGCCGTAGTTTACGTACTCCTGAGAGTAGTGGATCCTAGATATCCTAGATACCTCAGATATCGCTATCCTAACCATAGAGTTCCCTAATATTGGTTCAATAGCGACAGTGCTATTTGGACCGCTAGCTGTGACGCAACAAGCTTCAGCATCACTCGGCGTCGTTCTTTGCAAGAAAGCACAGTGACCATTCCCGCACCGTCCGTGCGAAGCGTACACCAGGCTTGCTGGACAGGTATCCCGAGCGCGGCTGCCAGAGATATTCGGGTCTGCGCAGCCCACCAGCCCACTAGCCCGTTTCTATGGGCCTCAAGCATGTTCGAAGACATCCGGCGACTTCCAAGTGGTTGCGGCACTGCCACAGATGCCAGCTGCTCCGAATGTTTCGGCGCCTATAAGACCAGCTTGCATGCGAGCTGAGTCTTTACAACGCGAGGGAGAAAAGCCACCTGTCGAGCAAAGCCAGCCTTCATTGTGGACTAGGATGTGCAAGGTCAAAAATCTGCTGTTTTTAGGCCCAATGTAAATTTTCAACGACGAGATGGTCAAGGTTATCCACTATGGCGTGTGCCGACCTTCTCAGTCATCAACGCAGCAACTTGTATCTCGTGTGCATGTTTGGTATGCATTGACAGGTGAACAATACGCATCCACGATTTCAGCAATGAGGTAGACCAAGAAAGTCCAACTAGCCTCTGTTCATCACTTTACAAGCTTTGATGGCCATGATGTACATTTAGTCATATAGTATGCCAATGAAACCCTTACCCGAGGTAGAAATATGTGCATTGAATTGGATATATCAAATGTGCCCAGCTTAATCCCCTATACTAGGACTGCGAGGATGATTGGGCTCCCACAAGTTTCCTACGAAGACGAGTTTGTGAAACATCATCTATAACCAAGAAAGGATGCCCTAGACTAGAACAGAGCCAACGGGTTGATAGAGTTGGGGTCTCTGGCCTGGACGACGTCCCAATGCTCGACGATGCAGGTTCCATTGAACCTGAAAATGTCGACAATCGCACTCGGCTGCGGAACGCCATCCATGTCCAAGCGAGAATGAATGAATGCCAAGTTGTTTTCGAAGCCCTGTCGCAGGACGGTCAGGTTGACGCCGGGCACAGAAAGGGAAGGCGCAAGTGCGTCTAGTGCGTTTTGGCGACCCGAAAGTGCTCCAGGGTTGTGCTGAATGTAGTCCTCCGCGATGTGGTTGAGTATGGCCTTGGTAGCATTTCGCTCTACGTAGAAGGCTTGCACAAAGTCTGCGAGGATGGCGCGTTGCTGCCAAGGATTCGCGCTTTGAGGGGGGCAGTTAGGCTTGGGCGAAAATGGCTTGAAAGAAGGGCTGGCGCTGGCCGTGATGCCAAGGCAGCTTGCAGAAAAGGCGATCAGGGCAGAGACACGCATGTTTGTAGTCTTGCGCTAGCAGGTTGGGTGAAGTGCGGTTTGTGGTGTGAATTCAGGCTAATGCTATGAGACTGCTTGATGTGTTCAACTGTGTACATGTACAGATGCAAGGCGGCTCTTTTATAAGCTGACGTCCACCCACTGAAGACGACCGAAAGACAAGGTGAGGCTTGGCCAAGCCCCTCTGTCGTCGTAATTCAGAATGTGCAAAAAGTCGCATCATTTCCGGCGTAATGCTGAGCTTGAGAGAATCTCGGCAGTTTGTCGATGTATGCCTCTCATTCTTCGGGCTTTTCGACACAGCATTACTTCCCGGATCTTTAGATAAGATCTGTCAGCTCAGGCGATCTAGGTACAGCATGACGACACTAACAAGCATCCCCACCCTGTTGACATCGTCTCGAACCTTAATAAATGAAAGTGGCTATCGACGCAGGTCCGCGGCACAAGAGCTTGATTGCAAGGATCGAATCGCTGTAATGGTTCCACAACGCTCGATGTTTCAAGATGGCCTACGCAAGCTTCTCGGCACTTTGTTCACGCTAGCCGAGGTCTGCGTGGCGTTCGACGTTGATGCAGTAGGTCAGAGTCGTCAGACTGCGATGTCAATCGCAATATCCTTCTTCCGCGCCAACATCCCCAACAAGTTTCACAAACAGCATCTTCATAATATGAAGCAGCTTCCAGAGACACCAAGTAGTTCGTTGACGAATGCAGGAAACTGAGCCAACTGGCTAGAGGCTGGGGGGGGTCGAGGTGTCCAGTCGCAAAGTGTGATGTTGCTGGGTCTCGAAAACGTATGGCGCCTGTACCTGCTGGGTGGCTGGCGATGTAACCAGCGGACTAGACATGCCAACGGGCCTACCATCATTCGACTTTCGCGTTCTCTCGGCCCCTTGGGAGTTCGTCGCAGCTTTTACCCCACCATAATGGAGATGGTCAAGACGGTTGTGGGCCTCGTTAGCCGCATCGTCTGCCGTATTACAAAGCCTCCACAGGATAGATTTGAATTGCGGAAGCAAAATACTTGCGCAGATTTAGAAGCACAGCATGACTGGAGACGAAAGAGGCAGGAGGCCGGGATTGTTGGCCGACGCGGATGATCGACCTGTAGTACGTTGGTCCCTGCATGGTCTGATGTCGTGCCTAGGACTTAGAGTTCATCTCAAATGCCGGCGAGTACTTGTACCATGTAGGTCTGGGATTGATGCCTGGAACATGACCTGTCACACTTGAGAAGAACATAATCTCGTTGCCTATCCGAAAAGCACGCTTACGCTAGTTCATTGGTCTTCTGTCCACTGAATCAATCGTGCAAGCTTGCAAGAAGAGGTCCTTCCAGTTGATGCTATTCCTTTAGGCTTCTGGTTTGCTTGTGTCTTTCCATTCGACAGTTACTCTATAATCAGAAAATGTGTCAAATACCGTACGACAACGCCCAACATGAGATGAGTCGTCGCGCCAATCATATGCCGCTTGTGCGCTTCACTCACGTTACATGGTATATCGACCTTACATTCAAATTTCCTCGTCTACGGCCGATTCACGGCTGCTGGCAGAATACATAGACTGAGGCATATGCGTTCATACTCCTATTACATACAACACAGTAAAACAGGACCTTGCCGGGGAAGTGCTTAGGATCATCTTACAACCATCATAGAAAGGACAACGAACCGCTTGTGACCCAGAACGTGGAACCCGAGGAGTCGGAATACCCTTAGCTGGCTGTGGTGAAGCCAGTATCTCATCTTTACGTCATGAGTCACTTTGAGTCCCCAGGGGGGGGGGGGGGGGGGGCGACACATCGTTTCTCACCCTCTGCTGCGTCCGAGATCACATATGTATGGATATGAAAGAGGAACATGGACGCGTGGGCTGTTCATGAAATACAACACCGCTGGGCCAGAAGGGTCTTCAAGGCAAGGCATGTAGCCTGACCAATTCCCTACAGGTTGCGCGGCTTTACCACACGTTTTTTCGCGGCATTGATTGAGGTTGCCGATATAATGATACTACATCAACGCAGAATCGCTTCGTCCTGTTTTACAAGTCGTCGGCTGTGCATCGTGGAAGGTTCATTTGTCGAACAGACGCGCGTGTCATGAGCCTCCTTATGCGTTGATAAGTAATCCAGCCGAGGTCCAGTTCGAGATTTAAGTTCCGCCGATGCTAGTCGCCCGTTCGGACGTGATGGGGGGATGCTGAAGGGGCGCAGACCTTGCCCAACCCTCTGATACACTCTGCACACACTTGATGTCGTCAGGGGTAGGCCTACCGCTGATTGCGCGTTCGAATCTGTCAGCGTTGGCCGACTTGGACGCGTTGCTTAGTTTGCCCATGCCATTGAGCATCATACTTCGCAAGAAGCTTCCGACAGAGGCCCCACCTGCGCCCCGCGTGAAATAACTGAGCAGCTTCTTGAGCTTCGGAGGGGGCGGCATGCCCGGCTTCAGGGTTGACGCGAGGTAAGAGAGCGCGATACCAAGGGGCAGGGGGACGAGTTGCACGCTGAAGATGCCAGAACTGGGCTGGAAGAAGATCTCGAGGATGTCGGCAATGGCAGCGCAGTAGGAGTTGAGGCTCATGCGCTCTGGTAAGGTAGTAACGTCTAGCGGAGATGTCGGATTGGATGTCAGAACGAGGATGAGAGTGGAATACGTGAGCAAGCAAGCGGTCCAATACAAGCTCATGGACATGGCAACCGCCGTGTCTTCTGGGGTGGGTTCCTTGTATTCACGTTCCTTGATGGCTTCGAGATGGGCTCGGGGGCTTTGCTCCTCGAACCAAGAGACCAATCTCTCGTCTGTACGCCAGCAATCGGCAACCAGCCGTGCGTAGAGCAATGGTCTCGACGCCGCATCGTCACACAGCGCAAGGGCATCAAGGTCCTCCAGAAGGCCGGGGATATCCACGAAGATGTCCAGAAGTAGGTCTTTGGGCAGCTTGGCCGCATTCGTCCACGGGATTGTCTTCCACTCGGGAGAGCTGAGGAAGTTGCGCTTCCGGAGCTTGATGGCGGTGATGATCTGGCGGAATTCAGCAATCGGATTTCATCCATCATCATGCGACCGAAGAGCACTTACAAGGTGCATGCGGCTGTCGACGAAAAGCTGGTGAGCATGTCCGTCAACATGTTCAACAGGAGACCGCGACGTGATGAGCGCCACTTCACCCAGGTTGTGACTCTGCCAGCTTCCTGCTTGTGATATCTTCTTCGCGTGATCATCGCCACCGTACAGAATCTAAAGGATGGTTAGCGCTTTGAACGCCGAAATGGGAATAAGGTCCCAGCAGCGGGACGTTGGGAAATCGCATCGACTACCTCATACAGGCCCATTAACCTCGACGCAACCAGAAAGGCATCCGAGCTCCTCTTTTCTGGCGATCGTAGTCCAATAGTCATCTGGCCTAACGCCAGCGTGTAGGACCTCAAGCCCTCCTTCACCATCCACGGCTCGCCACCATTACGACCGAGCGTCCCAAGACACATTGCGAGGAGTGCTTTCCTCAGCGCGCCGTCCGTGTGAAACAGATCGCGAGCGACAGCGGTCCAGCCGCCGATCGAGTATCCCGATGCATACGGGGTAAAGGCTTTGCCGCTGGGGAGGTACGCACGCCAGAAGAGATCAAGATACTTGACCTCGTACGCCGAGCGCGCGAGATCGGGGTGCAGCGAGACATCATGGACGGGCGGAGACGCCCGTGAGACAGACAAGGCCTGGCCGGCCACCGGTCCGCTAGCGTTGATGAAGACCCGTTGACGTTCGTAGCCTGTACATACAACGCGCGATTTGAGACACTGGCCGCAAACGGGTCGCTGTTGATCGCACTGCATGAGAGTCAGTCAGCTGCGCCTTGGCGGATGTAGGGACCCTCAAGGACGGCGATGGGGATGGGATGTCGCCCACAGGTCGGTTGGACGTGGGTCGCATAACGAGTCAGACCAGGCGATGAGAGCCTTCTAGCGAGTGCCATAGCGTGTGCGTCTCCATACCGGACTTACACCTTTTTTTCGACTGCGGCAGGTATTGCATCCTTTGGACCTCCCAGGGACGCCGACCATGTTCAGTGTCTGCGATTCGGCGTTCTGGGCGTTCTGGGGCGTTCTGAAGATGAGCTTTGGCGCTGTTTGAGGCTTCGTTCAGGCGCCCAACGGCAACTGCCGAAGGGCAGAATGTGACAGCCGTCGTTGACGTGCCGTGAATAAGGTGTGGTCGCCCAACGGAGTTTCAAGAAGACGTCTCGCCTTGCAGCACCGGGGAGTGGGCTGTATCACCGCTTGAACCTCACGGCCCGTCAAGGCAACGTATGAGGCCTGACTACTGGAGAGGACAGCTGAAGGATTGCTGCCAGCGGTGACGTTAACGAGGATGTGATCGACGTCCCAGCACACTGAAGGAACGGGTTGGCAGTGATCCGAGACAATCTTTGCATGCGAGACTCGTGGCATAGAAGGGATTGTTGTATAACCAGAGTTGAGGTCTATGACGTGCCCGTCCTCTGCTCAAGAACGTGTCCAACGACATGTTGATGACTGCGGGGGAAAACGCAAAGGAACGGGCCTTGGCACTGTGGCAGTGTCTGCTAGGCTCGATTTGGAGTGACGTCTGGGAATGTGACGGGCGTCACAAGCCACAGCGCGCGCCAAGGGAAAGCCTTGTGATGAAGAGGCGCCCTGGGAAGACCCTGGGACAGAAGGATTGTATCACCATGCGACGAGTCCCCCTTGGGTCAACGGCTGGCGACTCGAGGTCGAGGGGGATGTTGATGTTTTGACATCACGATAATTGTTTATAGTAATTGTGAGGGAACAGCTCAGCAGCTGCAGCATTTGCCTCATCTCCCTGAGAGACAACCGATTGCCCTCTCTAAGCAATCGGCCCACTTCCTCTCGGAGCACCCGTAGCGACTAATAGTGCCAAGCGCCGACTGACCGGCCGGCGAAGCGAGGTGGTCTTGGTGGCCAATCCCGGACCACAGTCCGGCCTCTTCAATGCCTGCGATAGGCGAACGGAGAAATAAATCCGTGGTACCAACAGATTCGCGACGGCATATGCTCACAAGGACCTACAAATGAAGCTGGGGCAAAGCTAGTAGGCAGAACCGAAATCGCAGGAATGTAACTACTTACCTTCCTCGCCTTAGCGTGGTGGACTGACATGCTACGCCAGAACCGGCACGCGAGCATGAAGATAGCGTGTCTGAAAAAGACGCGGTCCAGGTTCGATGAATAAAACGAGATCTAGCCAGCCACGCCAGAGCTTGTTCTAGGACATGCGTAATAAACAGATGAAAACGGCCATGTCACGAAGTGAAGGAATCAGGAGTCCATGACACTCATCCTGGACCCCCATCAGGAACAGGATTCTAGATTTCGCCACCACGTGTAAGACACTCTGACACGGCGGAAACTAGAGGCTGTCAAATTCGTTACCATTTTGCACCGTTGAGACGCGTGCATGACATCGAATTGGGGAAGATAGTCCCACTCAGGATGTTTCCTCGTGGCGGCCAACAATGGGATGTAGGTAAGTACTCTCGTGTGTCACAATGCAGAGTATTTGCTGAGAACTGAAGCAAAACCTATTTGCGGACAGACATTGCATCGTCACACGAGCTCTGGCGCGACGAAGTGGATTCAGGTTAGATACACTTGTGTCGCTTCGGTGAACCTTGTCGGTACATGGTAAGCTGTCGAATCCAGGCCGCAATAGAGTATGGTACTTTGTCATTTCTGGATCAGTAAGGTACTGATGACAATTGTTCCGACCAGGGAAGATATCATCATAAGCTTCGAGCCGGTCTCGAAGCGTCCTACCTCGTCGTCATTGAGTTACCCACTTTGTCATGTCCAACCACTTTGATGTATGCGATGAGGTCGGTACACAACGTCAGCTGGGTCATTGAAACTGCAACTCCTCAAAACGTCTTACTGAAAGGAGCATATTTGGGTTCATGATCGACAAAGTGATGCTGTGGCTTCGGAGTTACAGAACCCATGGCCCTCATGAAGTTGAAGGATGATCCAGATGGCACGGGAAGGTCACCGCCCCGCGCGTCATAGTGTCAACCCGTTCGCTTTAGACAATAGCATGGTTGAGAAGTGTTGAGGAAACGCCGCCATGGAACTATTGCTCCAGTTGTTGTTCAGGGTCCCCGCAATCCGTTTGCAGGAATGTGATTCAGCCGCCACGAGTCTCGATCCCACTCCACCCTGGGGTCCTAGACATCACGAAACGTGCCTGACAGAATCCCTCACATACTAGATGGCTTATATATTGACACAGCACCTCGTCGGAAGAATGTCCTGTTCCTCAGCAACCTTGCAGACTTTCTCATTTACTACCCTACATACTTTACACTTGCATACTATCGTACATACAATTCCACAGAAACAAAACTATCAAGATGCAGATCACCACGTTTCTGTTGACGCTGGCAGCCGGCCTCCAGGTCTGTAACGCAGCAGCCGTTGACACCCGCCAGACCGACATCACGACTCGGCCCGAGTGGGTGTCGGACAGCCAGTTCAACGCTGCCATTCTCACAACACACAACCAATACCGTCGCCAACACCAAGGCGCCCCTCTGAAATGGGGCGTCGACCTCAAATGGGACGCCACTCTGGCCACGGCCGCCAAAAAATATCTCGACAGCAAGGGCACGGGTAAGAACCAGTGTCCTCCCTTCGCCCACTCCGGTGGCCCGTACGGAGAGAATCTGGCCATTGGATACGGAACACCCACCGCAGCCGCCAAAGCTTGGGGCGATGAGCGTGCCAAGTATGACTTTCAGAAGGCTGTCTTCTCCCCAGCCACCGGGCATTTCACCCAGATGGTCTGGAGAGACACCCAAAAGATCGGATGCGCCAGGAAGTACTGCACCAGCGGCGCTGGTATCAAAGGCTGGTACCTCGCTTGCGAATACTTCCCTCGCGGCAATATCATCGGTCGCTTTAAGGATGGCGTCAAGATCGGCACATACAAGCCACCCAAGAAGATCTAGTGGTTCCCCGTCCGGAACGCCATGTGCACCCTGTGCAACGGGTCTGATTTAAACTTGTATTATAGTTGTGTGATTCGACTGCGAATGTTGGAGTTTGGGCTCAGCCACAGCTGAGATGGGATCGCCGGACTTGGATTGATGGGCAACTTGACACTCGCTTAGAAAACTTTGTTTAGCAGCAATGCAATATGTACCAACGGAAAGCCCGGGTCAATCTCTAGCAAGGCGCCATGTGATTTGCGGCAATGTGGACTACTTGATTTCACCCACAGGACCTTTCAAAACGTTGCAAGGAGGGATGATCAACAGACAACGTTCATGTTTTGTGACGACACAGGTGACAATAATCAGCCTGAAATGGGACTACTGTTACGGCTGCGGCAGCATCGTGGTTGTGTGTCTAGTCGTACGTTTCTAATTGAAAGTACAGCATTTCCTCGTTCTTCATAGGGAATGTGACTAGGCCAATTGGGTTGCCGTTGCATGATTGTAGAAGCTATGGTCTTTGTGCGAGATCGTTCTGGGAGCGCTCGTACTACACCTGCACAGAGGGCTTTGAGGGGCAAACACCTCCAATGCGACACTAAGCTCTTTCTTGGAGCCGAGGCAAGGTTGTCAAGGAGAATTTGAGGGGGGTCGATTGGGCGCCGCCGCGTAGCTTATTGAAGTGGTACTGAAGGCCTCCAGCGATGGCGCGTTGACGTAGAGCTCGGCGAGTGAGTTTGCGCGCATATGAACAAGGAAGCTTTGAGGGGACTCTTCTCCGTGTCTGCATATGGCGCGAGAGGATATGACCACTTCACCACTGCCGATTATGTCAGAGACGATTTTCTTTAGGAACATGATTCTTGTCGGAGGTACTTTGCTTCCGGCCGGTTCATAGAAGACAGGACGCCAGAAACCGAACACGAACCTCGGCCCAACAGGATGGCCTTGTCGCCCCGCTCGGTTGGAGTGTGTGGACATCATTGCCATCACCCTTGACTTGCGTCCCTTGCCAAGTCGTCCATTCGCTCATTCACATTGCAACCTTCCTGTTCGATCCGTTGCACTGCGCTTTGAGTTTAGGTTCTTGCGAAGCTGTGCGGGGAGATGTAAGGTCGGAACACAAACCAGGGCACGCGACAGCTTGTCATGCTAGGGCAGACTGTGGGCTGGGGAAGCATCAGAGCCAAGCCTGGCCCCCATCGTCAATGCCGCCTGGGCTGCACAGGGTGCTCGGCATTCGTTGACACTTGGACGCAAAGGAATCAAGGGTACCTGCGCCTTTGCCGTCTCCAAGCCTACGAAAGCTCCCCAATTCAATCGGCTCCGCAGCGCCGATTGGGGATTCGGCCTTCGCTAAGAAGATCTGCCGAGGGGCCATCTGTCGTGCTGATCACAGCCATTTCAAAGCGCTTGTAGTTGAGGGGAGAGCTGTGAGAAGGCATTTTGGGACGGCTTCCCCCGCAATTTGTACTTCCACTGGACCGCCTAACTGTGCTTTTAGATGATCGATTCATGTATTCGCGCTTCCCCTCGTCCGTCGCTAGGCATCTTTGCCGAGATTGCGGACAGCAAATACCCATCTGGGTGGCCAGATGGTCAGACGAGGGCCATGTCGACTCTTCGGCTCCGATGAGCAAAATGAGTTAAGTTTGTGCTTTACCCCGGATCCCCATGAAGCTTGCTGCACCCCCCGGCGAGGGCCCGCCACGCTGCGATGAATCCTTGATTCGTGGAAGTTCCTCTGCTTGAGCACGTCAGAGATGCCACTCGGCCCCAAGGCATCGTGGCGGGAGAGCAGAGAGCGAGCTCTTACGCATACGTGATTCAAAGAGACGATGATGTCCCCAACACGTGGGAATAGCGATTTACAGGACATATAAGGCGTGCCACGCGGCTGCAAACGGAGGATCGTGATGTTAGGCCTCCACGCACTCCACTACCAAGAGACAAGCCCACACAGCCGGTACACTGCCCCGCGTCAGCGCCCGTCACCATGAAGTTCCTCAGCCTCATCCTTGCACTCACCGCCCTGGCGCCCGTCGATGCCAGGCCGAAAAAGGCGGCCAAGCCTCCTTACTTTGTCCTCACTGGTGACTCGACAGTGGCCGTCGCCGGAGGCTGGGGCGACGGCTTCCTGTCTTACGTGAAGGCCCCCGCAGACGGCATCAACCCCGCCAAGAGCGGCGCGACGACCGCCTCGTTCAGGGCGGATGGCCGTTGGAACACGACCATCACCGCCGTCCAGGAGAACGTCGACACCCACTCCCCCATTGTCACCATCCAGTTCGGCCACAACGACCAGAAGGCCGCCTCGGGTATCTCTCTGGAGCAGTTCCAGGCCAACCTCGTGGCCCTCGCCGAAGAGGTCATCGCTGCCGGCGGCACACCCGTCAGTCTCCGCCCATGCCAGATTTTTGACATGACCTCCCGTACTGACCTGTGCGATACCAGATCCTCATCACCTCTCTGACGCGCCGCGCTTTCAACGGGAGCGCCGTCATTGAGAACCTGAACGAGCACAGCGCCGCCGCCATCGCCGCCGCCGAGAGCCTCGGTATTGACTACCTCGACCTCAACAAGGCCAGCACGGCGTATGTCAATGCCATCGGAAAGGCCAACGCTGACCTCTACAACCTGGCGCCCGGAGACAGGACGCACCTCAACCCGTCCGGCGAAAAGGTCTTTGGCCGCCTGGTGGTCGACCTGCTGCTGAAGAAGCGCAAGGACCTCCGCCACTACTTTGAGAAAGACGTGGCTCTGAGCAAGAAGATTGCGGCGGGCGAGTACGCCACTGGCGAGGAGTAGAGGTTGGAAGGGTGGAGCATCTACGTTCCGAGCTTTTCTGCTGATGCCTTGGATATAATGCGTTCTGGACCTGTACGTAAGGGAATATATGGCTGTTTCGGTGTCATCGTTGCGGTTTTCGTCGTCTTCTTTCCAGGCAAGCAGCTTGTCATGGCGAGTCGGGATTTGTGGGCAGTCTGGACGTGTATCAGCTAGCTGTCATGAACGAAAGCAGTGAAGAATGGTTTCGATAGCTACCTTATGCTGTTCGTGTGGAAGCCTTCGGAAGCGACGCCTACTCCCTATTCGAAACCAACTCGGGTCCGCGAGAGACCGAGGATCGTGACTTTGACCTTGATGACCGACGTCGAGTCGGCGCCGAAGTAGCCATGCTGTTCGTGGCCGTTGGGGCTCTCAAATGGGAACGGAACCCTCTTGACGAGGACGTTCTTGTCATGACCTTCCCATGGGCCATGTATTCATGCCCATGTTGTCGCGCGACGTCGTGGACCCTGAACAGAAACCGACGGTGCTTGGCAAGTATTTTGCCAGCGGGCGCCGCCGTGCACCTGGCCCAGTTGGTGAATTCGCAATCTCTTCCGAAAGAGGAGGTTCGCTGCATGACTGCATGCGCAGATTTGCATCCTCGCAGATTGCGTGGCAAGTGCATGGTAAGCTGCAGGCGTCGCTTGGAACTGGCGAGCCGTGCAGTTGGATTTAGGTTGAGGTTGACATGGCCTGGATTGATGCGGCCGGCGTTGCGAGGCTAAGATGGACGCCGCGCGTGGACGCCACCAAGAGCTTGGCCATCATACGATAAATCCCGATAGTCTGAATGCAGGATTTATTTCAGGAACAGACCAGAGATCTACGTCTTGTCCGTTGGATGTTATCATGTTGTGATTTGTATCGTGATCCCAATCACCTGCGACCATTAAGCGCTGTAGCACGGTGAGTCTGAGCGTTTCCTCCGCGCTCACCGACACAGATACGGGTATTTGTGTTTTTCCTCGTCCATGCCAAGACGCCAGGACTTCTATTTCGGGGGTGGCGACCTGCGTCGCACCTGCACGCATATCTGATTTCTTGGGACATTGGGGGGATTTTGGTGCTTGGCAGCGCTTTGCAGTATCTGTGAGCAGCCAATCCGTTGGTGACAAGGCCGAACATGTCGAGGTTGTCTCTCGAGGATGCCATGACAAACAGCCCATGAACAGGGGATGGCGGCCGCTTTGGGCAAGTGATTGGAATCGCAGAACTTGTGATAAGTCAGGTGTCCGGCCGATGCGTACCCCAGTCATGGCCAAGCCGGTTTCTGACTCGACACAACTAAGTTCAAACGCCCTGGTAAATATCTCGTCGCGCTCATATTGAACAACACTGGCTACATCCCAGTGAGGGCCCATGTTGTCGCAAAAAGTCAAGTCGGGGCAAGAATCTGGCCGGATGCTACACGCGACGGGAAACCGATCAAGCCGACAATGGAGTGCCTTCTCAACGCGGCCTTGTGCCGGGCTTGGCCTGGTCTACCGCCTGGACTGCCGGATTGAAGAGAGGCTACCTCGCTTAGTGGCTTGGGCAACTGGAAAGCATCAACCCAGAGGGTATAATGTCCGATTTCGAGTCAAGCCAGCCTCTGTTGCCGATGGGCGGGACGCGGCACGGACGGCAAACCCCAGGTTTTCAGAGCGCGCACACTGCCGTGGCTCTGAGTCGCAACAAGCTACAAGCAGTTGAAGATCGGAGGAGGAGGGAGCTCGGTAACCTCAGCCTTGCATATGCTTGTTGGTCGCTCGCATGCTCTTCACTGCTCGCGCGCTCGACCATCTGTGATACCGTACGTTGAGAGCGTGTGCGGAGATCCCTGGCGTAGAATGCCCAGACCGACTTGGTTTCGACAAAAAATGCGACATTAAGACGATCTCCATTCGTTCATGCGTCACATCTCTTGTCTGTCAATCCACATGTTCCCCGCCCTACAGCAAGCAGCTTGGCAGGTCACACAAAGAACGTGTGGACGACTGCCAGTTTCGCCGCCCAACCAACCCGCAAGCGGCCCGCGCTCCCTCCAATGCCAGAAACCTGCTTGATAAGCTGTCTAGCAAGTCCCCCTGTCTTCTTCATAAGCTTGTTTGTTGTGGTGAGGGAACAGGGAAGACAGTCCTGACGGGAGACTCGCGCGCTCGCTCAGCCCCCCTAACGCCCCACCCACGTGTCTCTGTCTAACCACTTTGAAGCTGTGTACGTCAGCCAGGAATCTGCATCGAAAGGGGGTTACATGACGTTGGGCCTAGAATCAGTGCGAGGAGAGCTGCATGCAAGGAACCACCTGCCTGATGTGTGTGTCTGCTCAAATTGCGGGTTCGCTGGAAAGTTTATTATAGTCGCATCCCGATTGTGGTCCTCGCCTGGAAACTGCCGGGATAGAATCCGACCCCGAATGTAAATGCCGGAATTGAGAATGAACGACGTGCGATTGGTTGCTGGTCCGGGATGGCCTACATACTATGTCTTTGGCCCCGTCTTGGTGCTTTGTTGACGGGAGGACCTGGGTAGCTAGCTGGGTAGCTAGCTGGGCCAGTATAATGCAAGTCAGCCGATCCGTGGCTTCGCAGCATCGCGTATCATATGATTTGATCCTGATAATCTTAACCCAGCAAACTCTCCCCCGCCGGAGCGCGTCATATCGAATGCCATGACCCAGGCGCTTACAGGCTTTGGATGCAACGTGATGACAGGGTCTCTAGGGCCCCAAGCCTGGAGCAGCTTGTAGAGAAGGCCCACCCAAGCTCGATACTCCATGTTCGTCCCACATGCAACCTCCCGCTATGGTAAGTCCTCTGCAACTCCTCCTCCAGAGGAGGGTCCAGAGGAGGCCTGGCGATCGGCTGTGACCGCAAATCCTCACCTCTCCCACATGTTGCCCCACGCAAGGATCCTGACCTCATCCCATCGGGCCAAGCCCCACGCCCGGAACTGTATGTCAGATCAGGCTGCTGCGAGAGTTCCGCCTTTCCGTTTGTCTTTTACTATAAGAGGACCCTGATGATCTCCCGCCGGGCAACGAAGACATCCGACCCAGCACCGTGTCTCTCACCTGTCTCGGACCAGCAGCACTCGCACGCTATCTGGAGGATCGTCATTGACCTTCTCAAGTCCTTCTGTTTCCTCCCCCCCTCAGCATGCTGTACTCCACTCTGGCTGGCTGTCTCCTGACAGCCCTGCCTATCGTCAACGCCGCCGGCACCTGTCCCTTCTCCAAGCGCGAGGAGTCCTCCGAGACTCTCGACAAGAGGCAGAGCAACGCCATCCCCAACTTTGGACGATGCGCCGTCCAGAGCAATGTTGCTGGCGGTGGCACCAGGAGCAGTGACTGGTGGCCGTGCCAGCTGAGGCTCGATATCCTGCGCCAGTTCTCGTCAGAGATCAACCCTGAAGGCGGCGACTTTGACTACGCCGCGGCTTTCAAGACTCTGGACTGTGAGTTTGCTCTGATCTTCCAAGAAGAAGAAAAAAAAAAAAAAAAAGCTTCATAGCCTCATTCGAGGCTGTGTGCAACCAAGGTTGGCTAGTTGTGGCGCATGCTGACGTGAAATCTTCTCAGATGCCGCGCTCAAGAAGGATCTGCTCACGCTCATGACGGATTCTCAGGACTGGTGGCCAGCTGACTATGGTCACTATGGTGGTTTCTTCATCCGTATGGCGTGGCACAGCGCCGGTACCTACCGCGCTCTCGATGGCCGCGGCGGTGGTGGCATGGTAAGTGGCGGCGCATCTGTCAGCCAACATCAGCAGCTAACGTGAGACTGGAAATAGGGCCAACAGCGTTTCGCGCCCCTCAACAGCTGGCCCGATAACCAGAACCTTGACAAGGCTCGTCGCCTGCTTTGTAAGTTCAACACGAGTTTTAACCTCAAAGCCATTTCCGAAGTTACCGAAAGCTGACCTCTCCCTCCAGGGCCCATCAAGCAGAAGTATGGCAACAAGATCTCGTGGGCTGACCTTATGCTTCTCACCGGCAACGTGGCTCTCGAGTCCATGGACTTCAAGCCCTTTGGCTTTGCTGGTGGTCGTCCCGACACCTGGCAGTCTGATGAGGGCATCTACTGGGGTGCCGAGACCGCCTTCGTCCCTCAGGGTAATGATGTCCGCTACAACGGCAGCACTGATGTTCGTGAGCGCGCTGAGCACCTCGAGAAGCCGCTCGCTGCCACCCACATGGGTTTGATCTATGTCAACCCCGAGGGACCCAACGGCAACTCGATCCCCGCCGATTCTGCTCTCGATATCCGCGTGGCTTTCGACCGCATGGGTATGAATGACGAGGAGACTGTTGCTCTCATCGCCGGTGGACACGCCTTCGGCAAGACCCACGGCGCTGTCGACGGTGGTATGTTCTTATTTCTCCATTCGACTCCTTTTCTCCAGAGCTAACATGCCAACCCAGAAAACATTGGCCCTGAGCCTGAGGCCAACGACATGGGATTGGGCCTTGGCTGGCACAACCGCGTCAACAACGGTAACGGCCCCGACACCATGACTAGTGGCCTGGAGGTCGTCTGGACCAAGACTCCCACCAAGTAAGCATCTCCAGAGTGAGTTTGCGCGATGTTTACTAACAAGTATCTTTCTAGGTGGAGCAACGGCTACCTTCTCAGTCTGCTGAACAACCAGTGGGAGCTTGTCGAGAGCCCTGCCGGCTCCAAACAGTGGCAAGCTATCAACGGAACCATCGACTACCCCGACCCATTCGACGAGACCAAGTTCCGCCCTGCCACTATGCTCACCAGCGATCTTGCTCTCATCAACGACCCCTCGTACCTGAAGATTTGCAAGCGCTGGGTCGACCACCCCGAGGAGCTCGCCGACGCCTTCGCTCGTGCCTGGTTCAAGCTTCTGCACCGTGACATGGGACCCCGCTCTCGCTACCTCGGCCCTGAGGTGCCTAAGGAACAGCTCATCTGGCAGGACCCTCTCCCTGCCGCCAAGGGCAGCCCCATCAGCGACGCCGATGTCGCCTCGCTGAAGAAGACTATTCTTTCCACTGCAGGCCTGACCGTCTCCAACCTCGTAACTGTTGCCTGGGGCTCCGCCTCAACCTACCGCAACTCAGACAAGCGTGGTGGTGCCAACGGTGGCCGTATCGCTCTCGAGCCCCAGCGCAGCTGGGCCGTCAACAACCCCGCTCAGCTGACCAAGGTTCTCACTGCCCTCAAGGGTGTCCAGAGCAGGTTCAACCGCAACGGCAAGAGCGTCTCTCTCGCTGATCTCATCGTCCTCGGTGGTACCGCCGCCGTCGAGAAGGCCGCTAGGGATGCCGGGTTCAACATTGTCGTGCCCTTCGCCCCTGGTCGTGTCGATGCTACCCAGGAGCAGACCGACGTTACATCCTTCGGCCACCTCCAGCCCGCCGCCGACGGTTTCCGCAACTACGGCCAGAGCACCGCCCGCGCCCGCGCCGAGGAGATCCTCGTCGACAAGGCGTCCCAGCTCAAGCTCAGCCCTCCCGAGCTCGCTGTTCTCGTCGGCGGCCTCCGCGTCCTGGGCGCCAACTTTGACGGCTCCAACAAGGGCGTTCTGACGTCCAAGGTCGGCCGCCTGACCAACGACTACTTTGTCAACCTCCTTGACATCCGCACCAACTGGACCCCGGACAGCAGCTCCGAGGTCTGGACTGGCAAGGACCGTGCCACCGGTGCCACCAGGTGGACCGCCACGCGTGCTGACCTCGTTTTCGGCTCTCACGCCGAGCTCCGCGCCGTTTCTGAGGTGTACGGCAGCGCTGACGCCGCTGAGAAGTTTGTTAGGGACTTTGTCAAGGCTTGGGTTAAGGTCATGAACCTTGACCGCTTCGACCTTTAGAAGATAGCATCCACACCTTGATGGGTCTGTCTTGTTCTTCTCCCGAAAGTTCATAAATTTAAATTTTATCCAGTTTTGATGCCACATATTGTCTGACCCAAGACCGTCGAAATTTCGCGTGCGTTGTGCCTAGACCCCCCGCAAATGCCGTCGCAACTGGGTAACACGATTTGAGAAGACCGGTGCCATACTGAATTTTCCCTTGTTGAACACTTTTAAACTTCGATCAGGTCTTTGTTTGGTTGGGTGGCCTCATATGCGCTACCCCTTCGGGGTCTGCATTCTTCGCAGCAGCAACGGTTGCATCCGGGTTGCCCATCATCGTGGCTAACATACCTCCAACAAGGGCTGTACCGCCGCCGATTAATCTTAAAATTGGTCAGCCAAAGAAGACTCGTTGGTAATCGTTATTTGGTTTACACCCATGTGGATTTGAATGACCCAGTGTTGGCCTTGGATTCGGCAGCGTCGTTGCCTCCAGTCGTAGCGTATGATCTCGAAGACCTCACCATGCGCATTGCGTGTGCAGCCTGGCGAGGGCCCACTCGAATCGCTTGTTTCAACATGCTGACTGATGGTTGTAAATGATTGTTGTAGCGCGAATGTCGTGGTGCAATGGTGCCGCTGAAATGAAAAACCCCCCGAACGGGCCGGATAGTATCTGCTGGATATATAGACTCGAGAGTTTGGGATTGTGGCGACAATAGAGGGCCCCTCTTAATGACCCAATGCTGCCGTCAATGACTTTCGATGCGACCATCGCGTTCTTGCATCATACCATACCTTCGGGTTTAGGGACTAGTCTTGGCTCCTTGACGTTGTATTCATCCAACGTCAGCATGACGTGGCAGTTACGAAGCTCTCCCCGCGCACGTTAGAGCCTAAATTGAAAGTAACGCGAGGGAGCCGTAGCTCCGCAACCGTGGTTGTTTGGAGTTATCTTAAGCAAACAACCTATTATTGCTTTGCATCTGCCATCTAGCTTACTGGAGATGGCGGTTTTCTGGTGACGACTTCGCTTGCAGTACATGCGTAAGGGCTCTTGTTATCGAGTGGATAGTGATTCGACGTTGTAATTCCGTTTCCTCAATGCGAAGCCATCAGGCACGGCACGCAAGCGAAACGACATTCAGCTAAAACTTTTTGTTTGTGTTTCTAAAACGAAACTTTATCTTTTGACACGAAGCACTGGACAACCCCGCAAGAGAATCTATCTGCCAGTCCCGGTAGCCTCAGATTATAGTCAGCGCCGGCGTGCCTGCTGCAGCGGGGGTTGAGAACTTGGTCTCGACGAAGCATTTCACCAATCCCATTTCCCGCTTCTCCTGCTTGTGGTAGGCTTTGGCGATGTCGTCAAACTTGAAACGATGCGTGAGCATGATCGTGGGGTCAATCTTCTTTTTCTCCACCATCTCAAGAATCTCATCCCAGTCTAAGGATTGCTCAGGTTAGCGATGGACTCTGGGTAGACTTCTAGGAGAAATTGGATAAGGATGACTTGCATTTTTGAACTGGAGCCTGACCACAGCCGATCAAGCGGATGCCGCGCTCCATCAGCGACCCCACGTTGAAGTGGTTGGTGACTGTGCAAGATGTCAGCAAGGTCGTTGAACTGCGTATGATAATGACTTACATCCGACGTAGTCGCCGATAATTCCTACAGCACCGAACTTCTGAGTCGACATGATGGCCTCGTTGATCATCTCGCTTGTGTCTTGCTCGGCGCCAACTGCCAACTCCAAAGAGTGCGCCCATCCTTTGCCGTACTCTCCGCCCGTCGCATCAACGCTGACGTTGACACCTCCCGGCACAATCTCATGGACCTTGCCGGGAACGGTCTCTGTGGTCTTCAAGTGTTTGAAATTGATCGTCTTGAGGCCTGGGATCTTTGACTCGGCATAATCACATCGCCAGTTGCTGTCAATTCCGATGACCTGCTTGGCACCCTTGACGTAGGCCCAAGCACATGCCATCAAGCCGATTGGGCCAAGGCCCCAGATGGCAACAGTATCACCTTCTTTGACCCCAGAGTAAACGACGCTGTGGTAGGAAGTAGGGAGAACATCCGACAAGTAGATACCTACTGGTGTTAGCACTAGGTTAATTGGATCAGCTAGTGTGGTACATTACCCTTCTCGTTGGGAAGAGAATTCGGAATCTTCAGCAAGTTGTTGTCGGCCAGCGGCACCCGCACGTACTCGGCATGCCCGCCAGCGTAACCACCAGTGAAGTGGGAATAACCAAAGATGCCACCCATCTGCGAGCCATACAGCTTTTCGTGCAGGGCAGAGGCATTGGTCTTCTCACAGGCCGTCGTCAAGTTCTGCTTGCAGTATCTGCATTCGCCGCAAGACACGACAAAACTGTTGACGACGCGTTCACCCGGAGAGAGGGTTTTCACAGCCGGGCCAACAGACTCAACGATGCCGCAGAACTCGTGGCCCAGAATGTCACCCTTCTGCACCTGAATGATGGCTCCGTGCATGAGATGAACGTCGCTCCCGCACACCGTTGTGCCAGTGATGCGAAGAATTACGTCATGGTCATCTACAATTTTCGGCTTGCCCACCTCCACTATCATGCGTGTGAGCTTTCAAGTTGCAGCGGTCAGGTAGTTATACTCACCAACTCGGACATCATTTTTGCCCATCCAAGCCAAGGCCTTCATCTTCTCACCACTTTCGTCAGCATACTTGCCGCCATCGCGATCAGGGTTCGCGATGTCAGTATGTGTCGCTCGGCCCTGGTCGGCATGGCCGATGACCTTTTCGGCTTGATTCGCAAGGAAGTTTTCGGCCATTTTGGTGGTGCCTTGTTGTAGATGTATAATGGAATGCGCAATTTGATGAATATCGAGAAACCATCAAGGTGCCACGACGAAATTAAGCCCGATATTTAAACACAATGTGGTCGCGATGTGTTGGCTGGTGTTGTATAAAGTACGTCATGTAGAGCACATTCATGTGACGGAACCATGAATCAATGTCAGGCGATTCATGTCTATGGTATCGTTCTTGATTGCGGCCCTCTTTGGATCTCCCCACCGTGTCAGGAATGAAACGGATCGTCCGGGTCAGTATTTCACTGATCCAATGCTCAGGTAGTTGGTTGATGGGTTGCATTCAATGGTCCTGTTTGCTCAGAATGACAACATCTGCCAAAACCACATAGAGTACTGCGGCCCATGAGCACATGTCATCAAATCTTTGCTTAATCGTGCGCTCAGCATAACTCAAGGTCATCCACTTGTCGTGAGATACAAGGTCACCTTTGAATCATGGCATAAACCTCAGCTCCATTACCCTGCCAATGTAACAGCAGGATTTTTCACTGATAGAACCATGCCATGTGCAGACGTTCGGCACGAAATTCGGCAGTACTCTAAATCTGATCTAACCATACAAAAGTATTCCCAAAGTCCCACCATGCCGATGTATGCTAACCCCAGTATCCGGCTGGCAGGAGATGACTGTGCCTAGTCGTTCATTTCCGCTGCCATAGCGAGTAATTATGCCCTGCTTGTAGTAGGCTGTGTAGCATCCGCTCTCAGGATGTCGTTCGGTTCATCTCTCGTCTTGCAGTTCTCAATCGCAAAGCTGGCAGCCAGCTCCTCCAGCTCCTCCTCGGTCTTATCTTTGAATAACTCCGCAAATTCGTAGCCGAGGTACTCGCTCATCAGCAGCTCCCGCACAGTCCTCTCGACCTGGCGGTCGAAAGTCCAGATACTGGGGTACTTCTTCTTGTGCAGATGCTCCGGGATCATAGCCTTGAGCTTGGAAATAAAAGGCCCGTAGACGTCACCGTCGACACCGCTCTTGTCGACAACGCCCCAGAAATCAAGACCGAGCTTCTGCTTCTTCTCGACGAACGGCTGGATGAGGCGCATATACGGGCTCTCGGGGTCGAGGTACACCATACCCTGGTAGCCGGTATCCTTGTAGAGCCAAATACTCCACGACACACCGCCACATTCACGGTAGATGGGCAGCTGCTCTTTCAGCAGGGCGATACGCTTGGCGTTGGTGACGGCGGCGTCAGGATCGATTCGTGGGTTCTGGTACACAGGGCCGAATTCGCCGTTCCAGATCGGCACGCCAGCTTGGCGCATGAACTCGACCTTGCGGTTGAAGCTTGAGCGCAGCTTGGACTTTTGGTCCTCTGTGCCTTCGTACTGCTCGGGCAGAGGGAAGCCCATCACGCTGTAATCGTGACAGCTGTAGACGGTGTTGGGCAGAGGTTTCTTGGGGTTGAAGGCGCGGAAGTCCATGGCGTACGTGTTTCCGTCAACGAAAAGAATGTGCTCGGGGTCAATGGCGCGGATGGCCTTCTCGGCGCGCTCGAACCAGGCCTGAAGGCGGGTGTGCTGCGGGTCTGCGGGTTCGTTGAGAGGATTGTATCCCGCAATAACAGGGTTGCCAGCGTAGTGTTTTGCCAGAGCCTCCCAGAGCTGGATGGCACGATCCTGGAAATCTCGGAACTTCCAGAACAAAGCGCGACTCAAGCCTGAGTCGCAATGCCAGTCTTGGTTTTGACCACCTGGAAAGCGTGCAAGTCGAGAATGACGTAAATGTTGTGACGCGCGCAAATGTCGACAATGCGGTCGAGCAGAACAAATCCCTCTGTCTTGATGACGCTAGGATTATCATCATCCATGAAGTGGCGGTAGTTAAAGGGAATGCGCAGACAGTTCACGCCTAGCGACGCGAAGAGTGCGGCATCTGCTTCTGTGAAAAAGTGGTGAATAAGACGAGAAGAGAAGAATTCGGCCTTCTCTTTGCCGAGAACCTCTGCCAGTGCAGCGCGATGCTCATGTTCATGGCCAGAGTAGCCTGTGATGAAGTTCTCCATGTTCAGCATGCCGCCGAGACCTGCGCCCTTGAGAACGACCTGTTCGCCTGCTGCGTTCACAATGTTCGTGCCACTGACGCGAAGCATGGTGCATGGCGGATGGACATTGTTGGTCTTGAGCCCAAGGGGCCCCGTTGATGGCGCCTCCCGTGCGATGGTCTGTGTGGTAGTGAACATGTTGACGAGAAAAGGAGAAGATAATGGACAGTGAAGAAGCACATGAAGTACGTTAGGGGGCGCTGCTCTTGGATGAACTGGGAACGATTATGAAAATGAGAAGAACACTTTATATCTCGATGAACAGATGATCATACCCACTAAAGGGTAGTGGCTATGGCTGACCTCCTCTCGACAGATTTCTCGTTGGACTCCCATTATGATGAGAATCACGCACGATACCGAGGATCCCATATGCTAGCTTAAGTGCGATATTCCGCGAGGATGTAGATCATCATCCACCCCATGACCAGCTGCGAGCTTCCATGGCTGCAGCGTCTCAGCACTAGTCCTGCAGCACACGGATCTGGGGTAATATTCTGGGGAAAGGGATGGAATGACTAGACAGCGAGGCACACACTGCAGGAGCGTCGCCTTGCGGAGTATTCATTCCAGCCAGGCCGCGCCGCTGGCTTTAATGGTTCTCCATCAGACAAAGCGATCTTCCGCGACGCAAGCCTTAGTTCCCCACGGACTCAACCATGTTGCAAAGCATCCTTGAGATTGCATTCATGCTAAATATCCACGTTTCCTAGGCAAGCCACAAACATTCTGGCGGGTCCGTCATCTACTTCTACGTGTATGTATGCGGAGCATAAGTCCAGGAGGCCGAGCCGTTAGCAGGCATTCGGCCTTGGTTCAGTACCGTTCGGATCTTGCCGAAGTCCCTCGACTCATTGCCCCAGTAGTCAATGAGGTTGACAATGTCATCGATTCCCTCCTGCCAGCCCTGTGGCAGGGTCACAGTAGTGCCTCCACGATCGGTGCCTTGCGCCCTCGTTGTCTCACACTTGATGGAAGCGCCAGCAGCACCAGAGCTGTGCGTGAACAGGTCTGCATCATGGGGTTTGTGCCGTGGTGTCTGTGTTTATACCCAGGCTTGTTCAACGTCAATCGCACGAGATGATAATGGAGGGATCGTTCGGCGTAGTGGGCGATGCTAGATGAGGTTGACGCAAAGCTGCGGCTCAAGTCTTCACATGTCAGGTATGCGGAAATAAAAGGCCAGTAAATGAGTTCAAACAAATTGATAGCGTGGCCCCGCAGCACAAAACGACAGACGTCGTCTTCTTCAGGGGGCGCCCCGAAGGACAGATTCGGAGGCAGCTAGGAAATCCACAAGTTGACTTGCGCCTCGTGTTCCGGCACAACGGCTGCCATGGCTTCAAGGAATGATTGCTGATCCTTGTGCTGGGCCTGCAGTTCCATCATGCCGGCGCTCATGCGAGCAGTGAGTCTTCGGAGAGATATTTCGGCGAGGTAAAAATACCACGAGATTTACTCGCGCTCACGGCGGGGGGTCTGCCGATGTGTCAAGCTCCGTCCTTGGTGCTGGCGGTGTGGGGAAGAATGGCGGGTAAATGTTGGTGCTCATATCGTTGACGAAGTCAGGCATGTAATTGGTACTGCGGACCTCCCTTTCCGACTTCCAGGCCGACCAGTAGACGGCCTGCTGAAGGGTGTCAATGGCGTGATCCCGAGGATGACTCCCGTCTGAGATGCCGTGATATTTCTCCTGATTCTCCGGGGCTAGAAATGGAAGCTGCTGGCAGCCAGCAAGGGCTTGCAGGAAATAACGCCACGCCTTGAGTGGCTTGAAACACACATCATGAACACGCCGGCGAGAAAGAGGCATTGCGGCGCTATCAACTCATCCGACGAGATGAGAAGGCCAAGGCGCTTCTGCGCTGCCTGGAAGAAAGCCATGGCGTTATTATAGGCAATGGTTCCCGGCATTACAGGCGGCAAGCGGGCCGTACCTCTCCCTTCACCTTCACTCGAGAGCTTCATCAACGAACTCATCATCTTGTCAGACCCGAATGGCGACACTGATGGCCTGTCTCGTTTACCTCCGCCGGCTCCACGCGCGTCTTGCCAACGCAGACGAGCTCGCCGCTGCCCGCGTTTTCTTGGCCTCCATCATTGTGGCCTCGAAGTATCTGAACGACGTGTTTCGCCACCAAACTGCGATTGGTCCATGGTCTGCTGCGTGGCCACCGCGGGGGAAACACTCACGCTGTCGGCCTCAGAGACCAATGCCATTGAGTTGGAGCTTCTTCTCTTGCTTGGATGGAATGCTGCGAGTCGTACAGCCAGAGGTACCTGAAGCCGAAGAATGTGAAGATGGCAACGACGACGAGAAAGCGTAAGTGGGCCAGCCCCTAGTCGGTCCGTTGTGGAGACGGCCACGACGGCGCTTGCGGTTACCGTACCGAGAAAAAAAAAGTTCTGTTAGTTCTGCAATATGTTAGTGCCTTGTGCCAGTAAGGGAACAGGAACGCATAGAATCGATGCCTGACCGACTCCAGGTCGAAAAGTCGAAACGAAATTGGGGTGTAAAGGACGATAAAGACGAAAATGCGGTCGACGCGTCTCGACGAGACTTTACGTGTATGCTCCCCCACGCTCCTTTGTCAGCAATGCATGCAGGGCCCAACTGAGGTCCAAGTTGGAGCATTGCCTATCTGCTGGATCTCTCTTTGCTATGAAATGTCACCTTGCACTAGCCACAGTGAGCCAACTGCTTCGTCCCAGGATGAGGGTCACCTGTACCAAACCCCACCACCCTACTGTACCAATACCCAGACATCACATCCTGATACACGAATTGTCCGTCGTCTGGCCGGCGGTATAGATCAAAGCAGCGGCCTGAGCACTGAGATGCGGTCTTTTGAAAGATTTTCCATTTGTTTTCGTAGAGTAAACGCGATTGAAGATGGGAGGTTAGGAAATCGCGGTGGGGCGCGACACTTGCTTGTGTACATATACGACACTCGCTTGTGGATTACGTTAGCGAAAGAAGGGACGGGAGAGAATTATCATAGTTTAGTAGCCGACAACCGCAACTAAACTGGTAAATTTTCGACGTCATCGTGATCCCGTGGCACCATCAATGCCTTCTTCAAGCTCCAATTAACATCTGCCAGGAATTGAACATGATTCTCGTCTCTGAGATAATTAGTGTTTGATGCAGGCTCCTCCCAGCCGTTCACTACATCAAGGGGTATCCTCATTCGCTTGCTAACCCGCGGAGATTCTTCTGGCGACATGCCATCAACCAGCGACGGCGTGTCAAGCTCCAAGTCGTCATCCTGCCCGGACCTCTGTCTCTTAGCAGGGTCACCAGGCGCAGCAGGGGACGTGGACGAAGCTGTGCCACCAGATGTGTCGCGTGGCCTTGGCGACGGGAGAGACGGCATCTCAGCTCCGGCGGCAAATGGCGACACGGTGCCGGACGCTATAAACGACGGCTCGATCAGTGGTGCCTTTGCCGCCATGTTCTCAATACAGCACATCTCATAGTGATGGCGCAGCGCACCGCGGTCGACATTGACCGGTACCTGCGCCTTTTTCCCATGATAGTCGAGCACAACGTCGTACGGCACGAACGCACGAACGCGCATCGTGTCGGGATGGATAGAAAACAGGCGCTGGTCGAACGAGTCGTGCAGGTGACAGAGCAGCAGAATCCCATTGTCGGCCGACCACGTGTTCTTCCAGGCCTCCTCTAGGCGGCTCGAGCTGTAGAAGACATCGGTATCGGCGAGGTCGCTCAGCCCGTCCGGGTCCGGGTACACGTGGTAGTGCTGCTGCGGGACGATGTGGCACGCCTGCAGTGCGGGCCCGAAGCTGGGCGCTGGGCACCAGGAGCGGCCTCGCGCGGACACGGCGCATTGTACGGCGGCGGTGTGACAACTGGCGCGGAATATATCCATGGTTTTGCGGGCCTGCTCGGGCGTGATGGACATGTCGGGCGGCGCGGTCATGGCGTTGTCGGGGTCCCCTGGGATGTCTCTGACGGGAGACACAGAGCCGGATTTGCGCTTTGGCGATTGGGATGGTTTCTGGGCTTTGGCGGCTCGGCGGAGGGGGAAGCGTGTTATGCGTGCATCTGTCGAGGGCTTTGTCGGGGGGAGGTATCGCGGGTCCCTTCGACGAGGGGGTCTTGCTATTGGTTTCGCGCAGCCAGCTGTTGACTTGTTAGCAGAATCAGGACGCGTGCTGCGACTTACGGACCTTTAAGATGATCTTCCAGCGGGGAGGACTTGTTGATGGCACAAGGTTTGTGGTGCACAAGGTGATACCGTACAATGGCTCGCGCTTCTGGTGACTGAGACGGTGGCAGCGACGGCACGAGCTGATCGAAGTCCGCATCGCAGATGAGGTTTATGGCGGGAGTGTTCGCATCGATGTTGAGGTAGCCTCCGAAAGCAAATGCAAACGGCCAGCTGTGAGACAGTTCAAAGCAGAGGGCCAGTTCGTCGAGAACGTGCTGCCACTTGATGGAGTCGTTGCCGTCATGGAGGTAGAGCCCCGCAAAGTTGAAGCCGGTGGTGCTAGAAAGGATGTGAACGTTCCACCCGCGGGCGCGCATATCCGGGATCACAGCGGCGCTGGACATGGTGGCGGTAGAGAGAATGATTGGCAATCTATGGCTACATAAAAGATGGCGTAGAAGTGAGGAGGATCCCAGGGCGATGGTTTTGCGTTGTGGGTTCAAGCCGTTGCGTTCGACGGTGGTGAGTTTGTTGATAGAAATGAGATACTATGTTATCGATAAGATGACATTGTTTTTGGCGGGACAACTGCTCGTGACTAAACTAGCATAAGGTATCGGATTGATGCTTGGATCCGCATTTAAGCCTGTCTGAAATCGGGTTTATTGAATATTTTACCATTCTGCCGCAGGGCGGTGAAGGATTGGGGTCAAGGTTGTTACTCGACAGGACCAGTACAAAACAAGGATCAACCAAGTTATAACCATTAAGAGGTCCTTTTAATATGAGGACTCGGTGAGAAGTGACGAACACGATACATGAGGCAACGAGTATCTGATAGCAGGACCAGGAGGTGTGGCCGAGGTAGAAGTACGCGAGCATGACCTTGAACGTGCTCCACTTTACATGAATATCTGATCCGGGTAGATAGATTAATAGGCATTCTCGATAAGAGTATCGAATTAAGTAATTCTATATCTTCTATACTATTAATATATATGTTGAGAGGGCTTCACTGCTTATGTGAACCCTAATCCAGTACTTCCGCTATGTTTGCGAGCTCTGAATAGGTAGGGTATCTGATAAGTCTTGTGATGGTTGATTCTTGATTAATTCTCTACTTCTCTAAGTTACTGCTACCTACGTGAGTCAGATATACCCATCTGCTCTCAGCGATCACGTAAGCCGTAGTTCACGTGCTCCTGAGAGCAGTGGATCCCAGATATCCCAGATATCACTATCCTAACCACAGAGTTCCCTAATATTGGTTCAACAATATATAATATTAATTATAAGCGAGTAACTTAGGGTTAACTTATAATAAAAGTAGCCCTAGTTAATATTATTTATAATATATAGTGATATAGTTATAGCTATATAGACTAGTATCTTAGATCTTAAATACTTAATTTAAGGTATTATATTAAGATGCCCTCCTCTATTAGGAGGGTATATAGGGATTCTCTATATATCGTAGTCCCTAGTTATATAACTAGGGATCATCCGGGCTAGTAATTATAGTTCTATAATCACTATACTATAATCCCCTAATAGTAACTATAGTTCTATAATTATTAATGGGAATTACGTATTAGTAATTACTAGCCTATAGTTATATAATAGGGCCTTACTAACTATATATCCATATACTCGTATTATATAAGCTTTTAACTAAGCTAAGATTAACCTTAGATTATTATAAAGTAAGAACCTAGTCTTAAACGTTATAATAGGAGTTAAATATAAAGACTATATATAATATATATTAAGCTAATAGTATAGCTCCTTTATCCTAAAGTAACTTATCAAAAGCGGATTAATCTTACTTTCTTAGTAATATCAATTAGACTTTATATAATATCTCTTTATTCTTAATCTTCTCTAAATACCTCTATTTTATTATTACTCTTCTAATAATTACGATTTAGTTACTAATATAGTTACCTAGGACTTTATTAAAAATCGAATAGGTAGCTATTTAAAGATAATCCTTACCTCTAGCTAAAAATAGGATTTATATCTAGAACTTACTTTTATCTAATACTATAAGAATTATATTAAAATATATAAGCGTAAGTCCCTATAGGCTATCTAGCGTATACGATATTATTAATATATAGCCTAATGCCTAAAATATAGTATAGTTTATAGGATAACGACTACTCTTAATAACAAAACCCCTTAAAAGGGATTTATATTTAGGTTCGTTACTTCTACTTAGTACTTCTAGTAGTAGATAACCCCTTCTTACCTTTACGACGATCCATCCCTTTAATAAGCAATTAATATTTTCGGGATCTTAGTCCGGATCTCATAATAGCTTAATAGTATTGGCTTTATTATTAATAGACTTTGCTAACAAGTATAGTAGTAGTTTAAGAAGCTTATTAGTATTAAGGCTATAGAATAGATCTTCTATAGATGAGGTAGAGCTTATATAATAGCTCTTCGCTTTACCTTTACTCTATTAACGATCGCCCAGCGGCGATATTCTTAACTGCTTCTTATAAGTTCCCTTCTTCGATAATCTAGCCTAGTCTCGGACCTCCTTCTCACTTTCCTCGTCGTCGTCTTCAATCTCTTCATCGTTAAAGGCGCTCTCTTCGTCGACAACGTCGCGCTCACAACGAATATGTGGTCTTTATCAGGTCTCGATGCGCATCTGCGAAAAGAACCGAAGCACCAAATTGTCGGTCGAACTGCTGATAAACCTCGCTTCGATTTGCAAAGCGAGGGGTCGGCCGGCTTTCAGGTGTGAAGCTGCGCGTAGTACTTCGTCTTTATAGAGGTCCGAGTAGACGATGTCTGGAGAGAATTCTGTGAAGGATGTCAGACCATCGTCATAATACCAGTTCCTCAGCGAAATTTACGATACATCCCAGGAGGACATGCGTTCATAGACAGGGCCGATGCCAGGATTGTTGCCTGATCCAAGCCTTCCAGCGCTGTGGCTTGCAGAAAGCCTGCCAGATGGATGGCCATATTGACTGGCACGGCATTGGCCAGCCTGGACAACCGGCAAAAAGAGATTGGGATAGGCGGGCTTCTCGCGTATTGCGTAAGCGCGTCTTTGAACAGCGCCTTCCAGTGAAGGGCAGAGAAGAAGACGCTTGATACCTGTCGTTCGTTGCAGGCGCGCGCAGTCTGCGCCAAGAGAGATGACCCAAACCTTGGCCCAGGCCGTACTTCTATGGTGTCAAGACGCAACGTCTCTCGCATCAGCTCATGAATCTCAGCAGCCGTGTACGCCCGCGTCGGGTCGCCTACGCAAAGATGAGACAGTAGGCCAGCCGTCAACCGCGATCGCAAGTCAACCACATCAACAGGGGCTTCTTCTTCGGTTATCAACAGTACTCTAGGGCAGAATGCTGGTGGCTTGATCATCATTGAGCGAAGCCATACAACTAAGAAGTTCGTGAGTTCGGAAGGGCTGCCAAAGTCGTGGGCAAAGAGGAGAACAGTCGCGCTAAAAGGCGCCAAAAGCTCGCAATATAGGGAATAGGCTATTTGCTCGGAGTGTTGTGCATCATACCTCATCTCGTGCCTCACGCTGCTCCCTCTGGCCAGAAGCAACAATTGGAGGCCATTCTCCACCCCCGCAAAGCGGAATGTCGCTCGTAAACCGGCCCCATGTGTCCAGGTTTTTCCCCAGGATGGCCCCAACTTCTGATTACCAGGCTGAACACCATCAACGAGCCATGCAATTAGTTGCGCGAGCTGGACGGCAGTCGGCTCTGCCAGCTTGATACTACAGCCGAGCGTCGCCGACATTGTTCGATCATGCCACGCGACTATGGACATAAACATCAGCGGCTTCCCTGAGTTTCTAGCTTCTTGATCCAATAATTCGGCATCACTCTCATTCTGGTTCATATACAATCCTGGCATCATACGTCTAACTTTCGATCAAGACATTCATTATCTCACTGCAGAGCTTGCCTCCAGTTAGCGTCTATTCTAATAATGGATAAGATCAACGACAACGAGACGACCAACGTCGTCGCCACTGTCTCCCATCACGATACCAAAGAGGGCATGTCGACTTCGGCGAATCAACAGGAACATGAACTCACACTCAAGACCGTCTTCAAGCATCACAAGGCGGTCATTTGGTGGTGCTTCCACTGGGCCATGTGTGCCATCGGCTGGTGAGTGGATGAAAACCTTCGACGACCCAAGCAGGGGAGCTAACTTCTACTTCCCCAGGGGATTCGATGCTCAGATCAACGGTGCCATGATTTCTGTTGCTGTCTTTCGCCGTGACTTTGGATACATTGTCGATGGAGAAGCCATCCTCCCAGCCGACTGGCAGAATGCCTTCAACATGATCAGCACGGTGGGCCAATTCTTTGGTGGTTTCATGTGCAGCTGGCTTGCCGACCGCATCGGACGCAAGAACTCGCTTTACGCTGGTATCGCCATTTGCACGGGCGGAATCCTCGGCGAACTTCTATCGGATAGTCGTGTCGCTTTCTTGGTCTCTAAGCTTGTTTTGGGTGCCGGTCTCGGCTTCTACCTGACTCTTGCACCTCTTGCTTGCAGCGAGCTCGCTCCGGTTGCTCTTCGTGGATACGCTACGACTGGCGTCAACTTGGGCATCGCCCTGGGTCAGCTCCTGTCCAATGCAGTGGTCAAGGCCTTTGGCGAGTGGACCAGCCGCTGGGCCTACCGTGGCCCTTTCGCCACGCAGCTTTTCTTCGTCGCGTTCCTGCTCGTGTTCCTACCTTTTGCCCCCGAAACACCGTGGTACCTTGCCTGCAAGGGCAAGAAAGAGGATGGCCTCAAGGCGATTCGCAAGCTTTATGGCCCCAACTTCGATGCTGAGCGCCAATGGGCAGGACTCGAGGCTACAATTGAAGAGGAATCCCGCGAGAAGTTGGCAGAGAAGAGCTTCGTCGACTGCTTCCGCGGTACTAACCGCCTCCGAATCGGCATTTCGACTGGTTTTTCCTTCTGCCAGCATCTCGTTGGTATCATCTTCGTTCTCGGCTACTCCACCTACTTCTTCCAGCTCGCCGGTCCCGACGTCAGCAAGTCTTTTGATCTCGGTGTCGGAGTCACGGCTTGTGGTGTCGCCGGCAACATCACGTCTTGGTTCGTGGTAGAGCGTTTCGGCCGTCGTACCGTCTTCCTCTCGGGTATGGGCATCCTTACCGTTCTGCTCATCTTGATCGGCATCATGGGTGTCGTCCCTGCTTCCGGTGCCGGTTGGGTCCAAGCCGGCGCGACGGTTGTCTACGCCTACGTCTATTTCCTGACAATTGGCGCCATGGCCTTTGCTATCCTCGGCGAGGCTTCAAGCACCGTGCTGCGCGCAAAGACAATCTCCCTCGCCACCGCCACTGAGGCCATCTGTGGTATTGTCATGACCATTGCTATTCCCTACATGGTCAACCCCGACGAGGCCAACTTGTGCGGCAAAGTTGGTTTCATCTTCGGCGGTCTCTCCCTGATTGGTACCGCCGGCGCCTTCTTCCATGTGCCGGAGCTGAAGGGCTTGACTTTTGATGAGATTGATCGTTTGTTTGCTGCGAAGGTGCCTCCCCGCCGGATGGGAGCCATGGCTGAAGCTGAGCAGGAGTGAGCATGGCGTAGAGAGGACACAATTGTACGCCTGCTTTATATATAAATTTTAGCTATGTTATAGACTTCTTGAATTCGTTGAACTTGATAAAGCCGCATGAGTATATGGCGGACTCTTTGGTGTCCACAGGAACATATGGCGTGTATCTGGAGGGTAACCGGGTATGTTGATGGCCATGGTTTCCTATAACGACGGTCCTAACAAGCTTTCCAAGGTCGGGCCTTTTCATCATGGTTTGGAGAAGTCGAGGCATCTGTCGTAGAGGCCCGGAATTTGCGCCTAACTGTTACGGTCGGCCCCAAAAGGGCTTAGTGACAGCCCTCACACGGTCGTAAGTGCTATACGGCAGCTATCCAATCAAGCTGAAAGGATACGTATTGAATCAACATTGTTAAATCGACTGGGCTGCATTCATAGAGGCATAGGCACAGCCTATACTATACCACGGGCATAACCCGTAACACTAACAAGAGGGTGCCGTGCAGGGTAGGTGTCGCAGCCGCGTTGAAGGCCTGGTTGACGAGACTTACGTCTCGCAGATGGCGTGGCTCTAAATCGATAGAAATGAGATCCATAATGTCTTGCGACATGTTGAGGACTGGCCAGTGCATCGTGGCGAGATCCAGCTCTTTAGGTGCCGGTTCGGCCGGCGTCGCGGTGCTGTTGTCGGATCTGCCAGAGCTGCCAGGTGTTTTCGCCTTTTTGCGCTTTCGGGATTATGTGCTCCCAATTGCTGCGAACAGACGCAAGCTTGACTCGCAACTGGAATACTGATGACAGCTTTCTGACAATTGTATTGGTTGCGTGAACTTCAAATATGTGAGACTCAAACGTCCTGTAAGTTCACAGTTGTGGTTGCCATGGCTTAACCCACAATAGCAACTGTAAATGCAATCCTACACATGAGCTTCTCTCTGTTGAACGATTGCAAAGTACACCAAAGGAAATACCTGTTTTGCTTTGATTCACTCGTCCAGCGCACTGCTGCTTCCAAATCTCCAAGAATCACCTGCTTCGACCTGAAGTCCGCCAGTTGATCAGCATCCTTTTCAACACCAAAAACGCCAACTGAATACTACAGACCGCCCTTCCGTCAGCAATCCCCAAAAATACTATCGCTATCATCCGAGGACTCCTCAAACGGCGGGCGCGCCAGTACTGCCCGACCCCTCAAATTCAATGAGCTGCGCCTCTTCTGCGCCTTCTCATCTTCCTCGCTCTCACTCAACATAGCTACCTCCTCCTCAACTTCCTGTCCATCCACGGTTTCGCAACTAAGATGTTGACGGGCTTTTTTTCTCTTGACACCCCTCTTCGTCTCGTCATCTTTTGTAGCAAAGCCAGCATTCGCACCCGGGCCGCTGAGCACAATTTCGACCCCGTGCTTCTCCTGCCTCAACCAATCAACAAAGCCGGCGACCGTCATCTCCTTCGCGGTCAGAAATCTCTCGATCTTCGCAACCATTTCGTCCTCGCTGAAGCCCCGCTTGAGTAGCTCCTTGCACAAGCCCCAGAACCGCTTGCGGCGCGAGTACCACGTCCGCGCGTACGTGTCGCGCCGCCACTTTGTCGTGTACCGCTCGTCGAGCAGGCGGACGGCGCGCTGGCCGGCGAGTCCGTACTCGTACTCGTCCCACTGCTCGCGTACCGTCTCGGGGTGCTTGTTGAAGGCGAAGATGGGCGCTGCGGTGCCGTCGGAGAGGGTTGTCAGGAGGGATGAGACGCGGACGGTGGGGGCGGGATCGTTGCTCGTTTCCGCGGGGACGGACGTCGGAGGTAAGATGCGTGCCGGCATCTGGAGTTTAGACCCCGAGTCCATCTTGGGGGTCTGGTGAGTGTGGAGGCTCTTGAGCTCAGGGTCCTTTGTTAGCGGGCGTGAGGGCCTCAGTGCGAGGTCCACGTTGGTCGGGCCACTGATGGTAGGGGACGTCTCCGGCACGGGAGGCAGACTGACAACGGAGAACTTCCGGCGTTTTTTGACGACTTTCTTGCCAGTGCTGCGCGAAGGCGGTGCGAGATCGGCGTACGGGTTAGGCGAGGCTGTTGTCTCTCTCGATGGAAGATAGTCAGGGAGGCCATCATCGCAGCATATCGAGTCGACAGTCATTGGAAGGCCATCGTCGCTGTAGGTCGAGTCCACTGCCCCGGAGAGGTAATCAACCGCCTCGGACAAAGGTGATGGGAATCCTGGCCCAAGATGAGTTCCCTCATCCCTCGGCGCACTGCCCAAACGAGCACCCCGCTCCTGCAGCACCTCAGTCCGCACTTCGCCCACCATATCCTCCGTGGCAATGACCCTCCGGACAACCTCGCTCACAACATCAATTTGCATCTGCACCCGCCGTTCAACCTCGGCCTTCCACCCCTTCAGCTGGCCGACCTCGCGTCTCGCGCTCGCCTCCCGCCCCTCCAGCGCCGCAACCCGCTCCCGCAGCTCGCGCTCGATCCGCGAAAGCTTGGCTTGGACGGCGACGACCCGCTCGTCGCAACCTTTGTGCAGGACCTGGAGCATGGCGACCATTCTGTCTTGGGACGGCGCCGGCGAGGGGGGTTGTGTGGCGGGGAGGATACCCAGCAGATGCGCCTGGTGCGCCCACTGCGCGGACCATCGGCGCGTCTGGTCTTCAAAGCGGATGGGCGTCTGCGGGACCGGGTGGTAGACCGTTGGCTGGAACGGCGGCGGCGTCGGAAAGCGTGGCGCGGCAAGTTGTACAGGCGTTTTTTGTATCGGGGTTGGAGCTCTCGAGAGCGGAGTGTCGGAGCTTTGTTCAACGAGACGGGGACCGAACGTCGAAGGGACGTCATCTACTTGGCTGGTCATGGTTGGTATCATCGGTATTTCGGTTCTGGTGTTGATCGGACGCCATGGCGGCGGTGGCATGTCGCTGCTATGGCCTTGATCCTGGGATTGGGCGTGGGTCGCCGAGGGCAGTGCCTTGTCGTTCATATTCACGTTGTTGGTGTCTAGGGATAATTTGCGGGGTTCTCGCTGCGCTCGATCGTGCTTCCAATCGTGTGTGTTGTTGAAGGCAGTCGTGCGTGTAAGTCTCGTTCGTCAAGATGGTTCGAGTGAAATATAGTGAAGCGATCCAGTCGTCCACTGTGATTCAAGTTTGAAAGTCAATGCACTTCACTCTCATATCGTGCTGTGAAAGCCAGGACTTCACTCCGCTTTGAACCGACTCCGTCATGGCTTCTGGCCCTCACACAAACATCCTAACCCAAGGGCGTGTTCCCGACTCTGAACAAAGGCGCCGTGTACAAACTGTCCTATGCCGTCTTTGTCTGCCCTATTGTTCAAGGCGTGTGTGGCGCAGGCATTGCGAGTCGAGCTCGAGTCAAGGGAGAAGACAAAGAACATGCTCCATACCAAGAAACAGCACAAGGTTCCGCATCAGGAAGGTTCGCTCGAAGCAGGAAGGTGCAGGTCCTCATTGTGTTCATTTCGAAATGATCTGAGGTCTGCCATAGAGATTCAACCAGCATATTGGGGTGGGCAGGGGTTTTGTTCATTCTGCGCTCCACTGTACTTTGATCTATCGCCAGTCCAGCTACAAGCGTTCCTCGCCTCATCGCACTCCCTAGCACTAGCTATCATCGTTTGTAATCGCCTGGTGATCCTCCATCTAGCTCGATTCATGACTTTTTGTCGACGTTTCAAGCATGAAACCTCTCGAGGATTAAATAGGATCTATTGAACTAATATTAGGGGATTCCCTAGGGCGGTGATTAGGATAGTGATCACCGATATAGTGATCACCGTAGGATTACTATAGCTAGGATTTATAGCTCTTAGGAGTACGTAAATTATAGCTTATATAATAAGTAAATTAGGTAAGTATACCTAATCTATATTATTAAAGGACCTATTAAGGGAGGTTCTAGGTAATGACTAAAGGTAGTTCTTAGTTATAGGATAGAGAGATAATAATAGATAAAAGGAGAAGAATAAGGGAGAGAGGAAAGTAGTTATATCTCGAGAAGGGGATATCGGATCGAGAAATAGATTAAAGATTCTAATAGCCCTTATTAAGAGCTAATAAATAGTATAGGTTTCGTTCGAAACGGAGGTAGGTAAGTAAGGGAAGTATAGTCAAGAAGAGGGCTTGGATTAATCCTAATAGAAGTAAGGCTTATCTTAAAAAGTATTCAATTCTAATAATTAAGAGTAAGTTATTTAGATAGGAATTACTATATTAGGGGAACTTACGAGTATAGTTAGAATTAGGTATATATTAAATCTAGAGAACCTAAAAAAATAGGTCTAGGGGGTGCCCTCTATATATAATAGACTGACCCTTAGTAGCTATACGTGGATAAGGCGCTTGGACCACCTCTAGACCTATAGGGAAGTGAAATCGGTTTTACCTTAGCTTTTAAGCTTAGCTAATAGGATATAAGAGAAGTTAACGGCTTATTACTATAGAATAGCTATATAGAATATTATAAAAAGTTCATTATTCTATAGCTACGCTTTTTCTCCTTCTAATAATATATATATTAATATAGTTTAGCTTTTATTTTAGGTACTAGAGGAGTTATAAGATTCTAACTCCTATAATTAGGAATACTTTAAGGAGCTTTATTTACTACTTCATCGGTTCCTATTTCACAATTTGCGATATATCGTCGTCCACCTGATTTCCCTATTATCGGTTATATCGTCGATTATCTGATTTTCGATAACTTCACTGCTCGGCTTACGTAGTCGAAGTCGTCGCTGCTTAATACTATACCTCCATTCCTTATCTGATGCGACGTTGATCGTGTCGTTTCCGGTCGCTATGGCTGCAGGTGGGGCGCTACGTGGAGTGGGATCCACCAGATCGCGTGTCGCGCCGTCCCGCGTCAAGACCAACCTACCCACGATCGATTTAATACCGTACCTCAACGAAACTAATAACAAATGACTTTCTCTTGGGCTCCTCAGGAGGTCTCTCCCCATACTACAGTTAGGAGCATAAGTAATGTCTCCGTTCTACATTGTGATCATGCTCCACACAGTGCCCACGCTTGATCTTTAGACAGTATACTGCCCAAGTCAGAATCAAGCACTAGCCAGGGGTTTCGATTCCATGCCAAGGAAAGATTAAGCTTCGTTGGCACTCCACCTGTGGCTCAATCGGTATAGCAATACGAGGAGTTGGAAATTCTTATGGCGCCAAGTTCGATGCTACTTGTCCGTATCATGGTTGGCAAGGTCAAAAGTACGAGTCGCCTGCGCTCGATTTTCCAGCACACACCGGTCCGACCTGAGGTTGAGGGTTGGAACTGCGTCGGATGGGTTAAAGAGGCATTGTTGGCTGCAATGCAGGATGGCAGGGCCTTGGAGAAATACGCGGGCGGATGGCAGGAAGTGAGGGATACCGCTATGCTGTACGTTCAGAGCAAAAAGGAGGCTCATCGCTTCGACGGGACGGTGTACTTTGACCCGGCTCAACCAGCAACATGGGATATGTTGTCGGGAGTGGAGCTGATCCCCTGACCACGGTTTTCACACACCAGAATTACGTTAACTCAGAGAGCACCAAAATACTTCTGCCTGACCCTCTCCATCTTCAGCTCATATGGCATGGGCTCCAAGAACTTATCTATCTCTGCCGCCCAGAATTCATTAACAGGGTTAACATACTTGGCACAGGTGTACTCCCAGTATGGTGGCAACCATCCTGCTGTCTCCCAGTCCACAATACCCATCACGTCGTCCCCCTCAACTAAAATATTTAGGCTACTGAGATCACCATGGGTCAAAACAAGCTGGGTATCTGACTGTCTATAGAACTCCAAGAGCTCGTGCACGTCATCAGGCAGACACGCGTAATCAGCATTCAAATCTGCACTATTTGCAAGAGCCTCGTGGAAGTCGCGGGTGGTAGTAAACGGCCCCCAAAGTAGCTTGAAAGGTAAGCGACAGTCGCAGAACGGACCGCCGCCCACACCACCGACACTTACCCCATCTGGAGGGGGTACAGAGCGGAGTTCGGTAACCATTTGACGGAGTTGAGCAAGAACTATCGATTTCGACTCTTCGGTGCGGGCTTGCCAGCCATACCATGCCATTTTACCACGCATCTTGCTCATCACAAGATAAGTAGCACCTTTATGAATAAAGGCGCAGTACACGTTGGGAACGGGAACGGAGGTGTGTCGGGCCACAAATCGCATGGCGTTGGCTTCGGCTAGGCTTGCAACTGGCTTCACCTTGATGCACATGTTGAATATGGACATTAAACCAGGAGAGGGCTTCCTTAACCACCGAAGATACCTATGGGTTCTGGCTTTAACGAAGAGGATAACGAGAAGTCGATTGATAAGCCCGGCGTTGACGCCTTCCGTGTTGGGCGACATGTCGGCAGAAAACTGTCTCGAAGCTGTCAAGAAAATAGTTAGGTCGCAATTCTAATTGCCCAACAATTACATTGCTGCCGGAACCATCGAACTTGCCTATGTGGTTGATTTCGTTAGACTGACTCGGCATCGCATCACGCTAAGAGAGAAGAGAGGCGATGCCCAGTCGGCTGAGGTGGTGTGAAGTGTGTTCGCCGATTTCGGGAGCTACTGTCTACTTTCGGTAGCAGAGGATCCTGGACATCAGATTTCGGACGCCGACCTTCGATGACTCGAGGAGCTCGGTGTTGGGGGGGAAGCGCGCGCTGCGGACAAGGTGGAAAGGTAGAAACGACGGCAACCTTGCGGGCTCATAGAGTTGGACAATTAGTCAAGAGAAATGACTAAGCAGCCTAATCGATAAATCGGAATATGGTTCTTCCGTCATCTGCCACCACATGGCAATGAGTTAGGCTCGCCAACATCAACGTTCTGAAATGGCACCTCAACTCTCACATATATATTAGTGGACGAAGATAGTGCTACTTAAAATCGCGGATGGAAGATAGGCGATCCGGAGCATACTCTAGATCCGGAAAGATCTAGAGGCAGAGCAGATGCTGGCCGATTCTCTGGATATAATGGCAGCCTTGATCCGGCTACTGGAGAGACGGGTCCTCGTAGTATCCGTATACGTATAGGGGCAGGATCCTTATATATTACGAGATACGTATGATAGATTACGACGAGTGATTAGGGAGGCTTAGTAGAGAGTAGGAGAAGTAGTGGATGTTGTTGTCGCTGGCGACTTTAATCGCTACGACTAGTTTTAGGGGGGAGACGACGTATTACTAGTAAGATAAGGCGAGGCGGACGCTATTATCGATCTAATAAACGAACTATCTCTCTATAGCTTGCTCGCTAGGGGTACGAAGATATAGTAGTGCGGAGACGACGAGACGATAATCGACCTATCCCTTGCATCGGAGGAGCTAGATGATCAAGTACGCGATATACGCTACGGACCACGGATCAGATCACCAGGCTATTGAAACGGTGTTCGACGTGTTAGCGCTGATGCATAGGGACCAGGAACGACTACTATTCAAGAACGCGCCGTGGAAGGAGATTAATGCTCGAATTAGAGTAGTCCTGGAAACGTCTCCTGCGGGAGATACGGTATAGAAGGAGACGGATCGACTGATAATAGCGGTGATATAGGCGGTCCAAGCCCTTGTCCTGAAGGCTAAGCCGTCCCCGTATGCGAAGCGGTAGTGGACCTCAGACCTGACCTAGCTCCATCGCATTTACACCTTCTGGAGGAACCGGGCGACGGCGGAGCGACGAAGAGGTCGGGCTAGTAGATACCTTGAAGAGACGGCGAAAGGTGCTGTGAAAAAATACTATGACGCTATTCGGTAGTAGAAGAAGACGTACTAGAACGAGTTCCTGGCGGATAATGATAATGTCTAGAAGGCCGCTAAATACCTAAAATTAGGCGACGAGATAGCATTCGGCAAGATCCTATAGTTATCTCGTGCTAACGGCAGCCTCACCACCGATACCTCGGAACAGGCCGAGGAGCTTCTAGCTACCTTCTTTCCCCCACTGCTAGACGTGATCGAGGGAGAAGGGGACCGACTATAGCGAAACTCGCTCGTAAGCATGCCGGACATCATAATGGAAGAGGTCGAGTCGAAGGCGGCTCTTTGCAGCTAAATCGTGGAAGGCGCTGGGCGAAGACGGGTTGCTAGCCGAGGTTTGGAACCAGGTGTGGCCGTCCGTTAAGCATAGGGTGCTGGCGCTGTTCCGCGTATCTTTGGAAGAAGGCGCGCTACTTAGTTAGTGGAGGCACGCCAAGATCATTCCACTCAAGAAACCGGGCAGATCTGATTATACGGTGGCGAAGGCCTGGAGACCGATCTCTCTTCTGGCCGCGCTCGGTAAAGTGCTGGAGTCTGTCGTTGCCGAAAGAATCTCTCACGCGGTCGAAAGTCACTCCCTGAGGATTGTTGGCCGTATACTCAACTCAAAATGGCTGGAAAGATGAAACATGGGGTGATCGCCTCCTTCTCCTTATCAGTGTTAGTGCGATCGTGCCATAGCTTGCTTATGACAACTTGTCTATCCCAGGTCACCGGATCTCCGCTAGTCAGAGTGCTATCTGTGGGAGATGAGAACCACTGTGCGGTTATTACCTGTGAGAAACTTGCCGTCATAATGATCGTGATGGTTGCTTGACACGGGCAAATCATGATCCGGTCGAATGTCGAGATCAGGCTGAGCCATGCTGACATTCATAAAAGCCTGACTCTGGGTGCCTAACATCGATTCATTTGAGTCCTTACCGTGCAAAATACATGCTTGATCATCAGAACGTAGCAGACGCAGTTCGCAACTCTGAGCAGTGAATAGCTATAGCACCGATCGCCATGCCTTCATCGAGCTCGTCCTCCTTGGTCGGTCGAACGCTATCCCGGACTCCGGCTGTGGATCACCCACAAGGCCTGGACGTTGTCCACGAGGGGGGTAATCCGATCGTTGAGTAGGTCTCACCTAAGCTCCTCTACTATCCGTCTCCTGGCTGACTGCGGCAGCATTGTCGCGCTGCATGGCCTGGATGGTCACCGGGAGAAGACATGGACGGCAGAAAATGGCGTCTACTGGCTACGGGACCTCTTCCCCAAAGACCTCCCACAAGCCCGTATCCTCTGCTACGGCTACGATGAAAATACTTATTCTATATAAAGAGTGAGCTGGGCTAGTCTCTACGACTATGCAACGAATCTAGTGTCCGAGTTGTGTAGGAAGCGGAAAATCACGAACGTGGGTGCGCCTTGGTTCGCTGTGGTTGTGAACTTGCGCTAATAATGGAGAGCCTCCTAGTCCATCGACCGACCTACGATCTTCATCGCCCATAGTCTGGGAGGAATCGTCCTCAACATTGCACGGTGTTCTAGACGTTTTGCCATGCGGTTGCCTCGCTAACCTGCCTATCCCCAGGCGCTTATCCACTCCGATGCCGCTCGGCCTGGCGCGCTGCACGAGCACCGATCGATCAAAGTGTTAATATACGGGTTTCTGTTCATGGGAACTCCCTATTAGGGCGGGAACGGGGTGCAGCTAGGTAGAGTTCTGGCCAACGTTGCGTCTCTCTTCGTGGTAGCAAACGACCGGCTTCTAAAGTAGCTCGAGCGTGATTCGGAATGGCTTTAGCAGTAGCTCGGGCAATATAACTAGATCAGCAACGACTTCGTTACTAAATTTGCTTATGAGGAGTATGCGACCCCGACCATCTTGGGTCAGAGCATCATGGTCTGTACCCCTTACTGTTACCGTTGACGAGCGTACTAAGCAGAATTAGGTGGTTCTAAAGGCATCGGCTGTCGTGCCAGGGTACGTAAACGCCGAGTCGTTCAAAATCCCCTTAAACTATACCTCCATGGTTCGTTATATATCGGATCAAGAACCGGGATACAAAACGGTGTCAGAGCACCTACAGATCATGGTTATGGATGTACCGGTGGTGGTGCAAGGGAAATGGCAGGTTGAAGCAAGGGTACATGCCGGTACGAACACCTAATCATATCGTATCTTTGGGGCATGCAGTTTAGTTGACGGACTTACTATCACAAGGCAATAACAGTCATTTTATGCTTTCCCTGAGCTTATCTGGACTACCTGAAAGGAGCTATTTTGTTGCCAGAGAAGAAGAGCTTGCTCGGATGCACCAAGCGCTCGACAACAAACCCGGACGCCGCACTGTTGTCGTGCACGGCTTGGGCGGTATGGGCAAGACGCAGCTTGCAATAGCATACATGAAGCGACACTACGAGCTCTACACAGCCTCTATCTGGTTGAATGCCAGAGATCAGACGTCCTTACGCCAGGGCTTCCGCAATATGGCTGTAACGATTCCCCAAGAGTACCCTGATCTGAGTTACATGGCGAACGCGGCATCCAATAAAGACGGCAACGCATCGCTGGCTGTCAAGAGGTGGCTGAATGAGTCAAAGAATGACAGGTGGCTGCTGATATACGACAATTATGATCACCCCGTGATGGGGGGCGTCACTGATGACATGCCACTCGGGGAAGTTGACACCTCTAGTCGACACGACGGGACAAATCAAGCAGCACCCGAGGGCTACGATATCCGCAAATTCCTTCCGGATACAGATCATGGAGCGATCATCTTGACGACGCGATCATTCGCAGTCCAGATTGGGGAGCTCTTACAATTGCAAAAGTTGCATGATATAGGGGACAGTCTTCGCATTCTGGAATCAACCTCAAACCGCAAAGGAGTTCAAGACGGTTAGTGGCATTCTCCCGGACTTAGTGACATGCAACCCCCTGACAAGCTCGACATGACAGATGCTTCTGCCGTAGCTCTCGCCCGCAAACTCGACGGTCTACCGCTCGCTCTAGCAACGGCTGGCGCATATATGAGACACTTGGCGACACCTTGGGAACAATACTGACAGTATTACGAAACTAAATGGGGCAAGTTGCAAAGGCTTAGCCCGCAACTACTCACTCGCATACAAGAATCGGGCCTTATACTCGACCTGGAATATTTCGTACGACAGTATTCGTCAACGAAGCGAATCAGCAGTGATGCTGTTGCGACTCTGGGCATTCTTTGGCAACGAAGACTTGTGGTTCGAGCTTCTGCGACAAGGGCGGGAAGATGGTCCCAAGTGGTTTCAGGACCTAACAGAGTCCCACAATACTCTCGATGAAAGCATGCGAGTGCTCTACAGTCACGGACTCGTAGAAGCACATTCGACGACACCGCAGTCCGCGTCAGAATCAAGCGGCTACAGCGTCCATGGCTGCGTGCACTCATGGATAATTCACGTGCTGAATAGTCCGAACGAGCAAGGCTTAAGTACACTAGCGATGGTCTGTTTGAGTCGTCACGTACTAGGCTTCGGGGGTCCTGATAACTAGTTAATTCAACGCCGACTCATGCTCCACGCTTACCGATGCCGGCAATTTATCGGTGAGGTCGATGACCACTGAAGTAGTACTAGGATGGCAGACGCCCTAACCTTCCTCTATCTCAATCAAGGCAGATATAAAGAGGCCGAGTCAATGTTTAAGCGTGCGCTTCAAGGCTATGGGAAGGCACGGGGCCCGGAGCATGCTTCGACGCTTGGCACAGTCAACAATCTCGGTCTCGTATATCGGATGCAAGGCCGGCTCAAACAGGCGGAGTTGATGTTCGAGCGGGCACTTCAAGGCTACGAAAAAGCACTCGTCAAAGAAGCCGTTGCTGCTTACCCCCCCTATTTAGACTCATTGGAGACTATGGCGGACCTGTATAGC